GAACATTAGATTAGAATGTTAAATAGAAGCAGGACATAATGTTACCCTCACCATAACCAAATGTAACCTTTAAAGCATGCCTTCACCTTGCTTGCTATCCAGTGCGTCAAGACTCCCATTTTACCCTACTGAGTGCACTGGTCACTGTTAACAGTCTAACTCTGAAAGAAAAAAAAAAATACCAAATGCCCAATCTGGACAGTTCCCAGTGGGTCTCAAGATTGCAGCATCAATCAACGTATTCCTCTTTTGCTCTCTATGCACTCTTCACATGGATACAGCTAAGCCCACTGTAACAAGATTAGCCAGTATTACTCTGTATATAAATGGAAGCCAGACAGCGTCTGCTCCTATAACCTTTCTCCTAGTCTACAGGTTCTGCATATTCATTGATAGATATGATTTTATTAAGATTGGGACATAACAAGATCAACTAACCTGTTTGTAAAGCGCTTTAATGTTATTGATTGAGCAAGTTAGTCGCATAAGTCTTTGTATTAGGAATGAGCTGTTATAGAAATTAACAGTCAACTTTTGCTAGAAAAGCTCTAAAAAGTAACAGAAGTGTTTATCTTTTTTTAAGTTACTGAAAGTATGCATATCTGTAATATAGAAACTGCTGCGCTTTCTTTAGGGACCCATGTGATGGAGGGCTCGGGCCGCATGGTGGTGACGGCTGTCGGTGTCAACTCTCAGACTGGAATCATCTTTACACTGCTGGGGGCTGGTGTGGAGGAAGAGGAGAAAAAGGAGAAGAAAGGTAAGATAATTTGATCCTTATATAATCTTCTCATATATAACCTGCTCCATACTCAGGAGTACTGAGTAATTTGCTTTTGTGTCAGTGTTGCCCAGCAACATACCCCTGAAAACAAGCTTTTCTCATTTCATTACCTTATGTTCTCAAAGTCTGTATACCTCATTGCACAATGTCAGTGTTTTAACTGTCTTTGTAAACAGAGGGGTTCTAAAGAATGAACTCACAAATGGACAAATGTCCACCTTTTGTAGGTGTTTGTAGTACAGTATTCAACACTAAGTGAATGTGTATAGATACTGTATGATATCAGTATTGGTGGCTCAGTAATCAGCTGCAGTATGCAGGTTCTGTGGGTTCAGGTGCATCATTGTCCTTACTCTCTTATCGTTCCAAATTTGCCTCGAAGGAGGGGCAGTGGAAGACGGACACCAGAATACAGGTAGAGTATCACCTTTCTCTGACCCCTGGGAGTGGTACAGTACTTGAACCTTTTGATCTTTAACCCCTAGTGCTTACCAGTAAACCACTGTTGCTAGACTACTCTTTTCTCTAACAAAGCAACCTTGCTTCTGTTAAACTCCTCACTTAAAAAGAGAAGCATCATAATCACAACACTGCATCTTTTTAAGTGTTGATAGATAACACATTTCACAATGCATAATCCTCTCCTCATATAACAGGCTCTGCACTCATCAGACTAACTAGCTAGCATCCAACATAAGCCCTGCTTCATAGACATGTTGAATGCCATGAATAAGAACGGGCTTTCAGACTCATCTCATTGCTGTATTACAGAACAATGATATGAGAGCAATAGCCTTGTGGGTGCACAACACATGTACCAGCAGTAGGGTGTAAACTAGTTAGTACAAGCTTGTATAAGATGTACTCTTTTACATCTTAATATGTATATGTGCACAGTTTATCCTTTTAGTAGTGTCTTTGCTACCACTTCCGTATTTTCATTAAATTAAAAATAGCTTGCATGGAAACATGTAGTGATATTATAAAAAGGTAAAGATTTGTTAGATCATCCCTCCAGCTTAAATCTAATGCTGTGTGTCTTTTTAGATTGATGTTTATAATAACTACAGTTCTTCAACAACAATATGGTTTTAGGTGCATCGCCGCTATAATATTCATTCATTTACTTTTTTGGTTTTTATATATCTAATTTGATTGGCTAAACCAGGGGAAAAAAATCTTCTATGATGATTCAAAATGAATAATAATTACTGATCAACAATGATAATTTGACAATTTCATGATCAAAATCATACCAAAATGTTGCCACACATTTGAATATCCTTTTGCATGTAATAATTGATTCACATTTGGTCTAAATAGTACAGCTCTGACAAAGTTAGGATTAAGACTTTTTAAAGAATCATATCTGCCAGATGTTGGATGAGATGGATCTGCTGTGAAAATTTGAGACCGAAATCACAGAAGTCCTGTGTTTTTAAATGAGATGACTGAAAAATTAAGTTATAATGAAACTGACAAACATTTATGCACCACGCTTTGTTTTAATTTTGCTGAAACCAAAAGGACACTAAAACATAATAAAAATTTCCCATGTTTATCATTTAAAAATAGCAACTATAACAACTATGGAAAATAAAAAAAACTGATACATTACTATGTTTCCTGTTAAAGATCATTAGTCTCTTCACTTAACTGGCTGGCACATGTGTGTTTCACTGGCTAATGAGGTGGATCCCTCTTATTTTTTGTTTAGTTTGGACTGGGGAGTTTGACTTTAGTTTTAATTTTAGCTCATTTGTTTAAATTTTTGGCTCAAATTAGGATTTTTATTTTGCTAAACGATATTACACGAATAACATGGTTTTGATAAAAGTTAATATTGCCAAAGGTTGGGGGCACAATTGACAATACATGAAATTTGATGGGTAAAATGCACAGAAACAAACAGGTGTCTAAATTTGTCTGACAACTGACTTACTTCTAGTGTAGCTGTGGTTTCATGTTTTATTTTATTGTTTCCCCCAATGTTATGTTCAGGTTTCATGTTTCATGTCCGTCCACTGTTATACTTGTCTTATTATTAACATTTGATAAACATCTTCTATCAAATCTAACATTAGCTAAATACATAATAATAATAAAAACATTTGCAAATGCATTTTTTTCCCCACACTAATCACACGGTCTTTACACGGTCTACATATGATGAATCTCTTAAATGTGCTATAACCATGTTATTTCTGTTCACTGTCTTGGGTGTGCACGTGTGTGGGTGTGTTTGTGTGTGTGTGTGCGTGTGTGTGTGTGTGTTTTTGTTCATTCATGTTTGGCCCTTATTGTTACTGGCTAGACTGCTCCCATCCCCCTATCCACCCCATCGCAACTATAGCCACGGATGGGGCTGCAGGCATTAATGCCCCTGGCAGTGCCAGCCTAATTAATGGTAGGTCGATAAAACCTCTGATCTCTGATCTCTCTCTTGTGACTTTTGACCCCTCCTACCTTCTTCATTCTCAAACTGCCTCCTCCTACCGTGGGTGCTCATCTTTTGCTTTTCTCTCTGTTGTTTTGTACCTTTTTCGTATCCATGCTATCAGTGCATGCCATTATTATCTGTAGAAACTGTGTTTCTTGTTCTTCTCTATATGCTGTTGCTTGTCTTGTAAGAGTTTTAACGAATATAGCCATCATGGACACATTTCTAATGTTTTTCCTCTGCATGAATCTTTAAATCAAGACTAAAATAAATAAAAGTCCCCAGGTCCATGGGTCTCTATAATGTTGAAAAGCAAGGAAGATCTTTTGAGCGTTTTTATATTGTCAGGGATAACAAGAATAACATTAAAAGTGACTTCATTCCGTTTCTTGCTCAGAATCTGGTAAGAAAAAGGCATATAACATATAACCCCTGCAGGGTTGTTGCTACATATGAGTTTTTGAACGATTAGGCCAGGATTTACAAGGCACTTTTTTATTTTCAGACATAAACACACTAGTCTTTTCCCTATTTTATAGTCTAACTGACCTCTTGGCAATAATATGGTGAATTTGGATAGTTTCCACATTTGAAACCCTTTCTTTATATTCTACTCTTATTTTCCGTCATAGTTCAAATTTGATTTAATTGTTGAGATTTGAAAAAAAAAACAAAAACACAGGTTGATGACTGATGGAAAAATCTTATAGTAGGTCCAACCCCCTTTAGTCTGATGTCCCCTGAGGTCGCTTAGTGAAAATCCTCTACTTCTGTGTTAGCTGGACGCAGTGCAAAACGATTAACTTCATTGTGGCACTGGGTTCTCTCTTATCTGTTTCCCCTTGGAGAGCAGCCCCAGTGTGTTTGTACCCAAGGCAGGAGTGGTAAGATTTGTGCTGTAATGGTGACCTTGTGCTATCCTGGGCTGGAACAAAGCGATTTGTCATCTTCAGCTTTATTGTGACTCCGGGGAAACTGGCTAAAGTGGAAGTGAAGGTGAAATGAACCAGCTCTGGTCTGATGGTCTTACAGCTCTACCTGAACAATTTGTGACATTTATGTACAAATCCCTAAAAGACAGATTTGGTCAACTTTCTGGCCTGCCTTCCACCGACTCCAAAAATAATGGGATCAAAGCTGCAGTACAAAATAAAATGCTTCTTCTTTTTTTGGCACACTGTGTATCTATTTTGCTTGAAAGTGCAAGACGCTTTACTAGATGCTTAGTCTTATCTTTCACCGGCTGCAAAATAATATATATTTTTACTTCTAACAAGGTCTTTCACAGCTCAATTAGACTACCCCCAAGTTGACTGTATAACTTAAAACAGCACTGTGCGATTAAAGTGCACATTTAAATTAAGTTAACTCCTTTTGAGAAGAATCCAACAGCATAATAAATTCATTGTCTCCAAACTTATTTCAGTTTTCTTCCAGTTGTTCTTATGTAACTTCACCATGTGGGAGGCTTTCCCTTCAGGCTCTCTCTTTCTCCCTCTGTATTGTTCACATTTCCAGTCTGCTTCCCTTTAAGTGTGTGATCGTGTGATCTTGCATGCCTGAACTTTCCTCTTATGCATGCTGTCTCTTGTTTCTGTGTACTGTACGTGTGCTTTTGGTGTACCCTCTCTCACTGTCAGTGTTTGGTGTAATGCCTTATCTGCTGTTTGTCTTATATCTCATTTGATAACCCGACAATTTGATTCATGTTGTTGCTAATGTTGCGTGGAATTGCCTGTGCTCACAGTGTGAGTATGTCATTCAAAACAATACAAAGAAAATGAAGAGATTTTTTAAAAAGTGCTATTTTAAATGTGAATTTTACATCACACTTAATATACTTTGAAGAATTTCTTTCTTTTTTTTTTTTTAATTTAGAAAGGCCCATTAATTGATTTTAATTACCTAATTAATTTCTTATGCAATGAAATAAAGTGTATCAAAACAATGGTTTCTCCCATTTTGTAGTAGTCTACACAGCAGTATGTCAGTGATCTGTTAGAATAACCCGTTTAGTACGTTTTAGTCTTTCTAACTCCTTGTCAGCTGTTGTAGCTACTAGTTGCATCACTTGCTTATCACAAGCCTTTCTATGTGACTGTCACAGAGATGTATTAAAAGTCATTTTCCTGTCTCCCTGTGTGTGAATTTTGGTTCTCATTGTTTGTGCTGTCTCTGTGGTGATAATTTGTTGACCTGTCTGCCTTGGTTATTTTTGTTGTTGTTGTCTTGTATGTCTCCATCATAGGTAAAATGCAAGATGGCAATATGGAGAGCAACCAGATTAAAGGTAACCAAACCATATCTTTCACTCTCTCCTCTTCCTCCCCCTCCTCCTCCTTCCTTTTCCTCTTCTCATCTCTTCCCTTTTATGGTGTGTAGCGTAAGCTCTGGGTCAAATGCAGGTTACTTTATTTTTATCAGCCCAGATTGTTCTTAATAATGGTCTCTCTAAGCGTTGTGCAGTGCTAATTCAGACTGGATTCTGCTCATTTTTGTGACTGAAGTCTATTGCAGGCTGAAGCCAATCCCAGACACTGTATGTGTTGGAAGGAATTAGACCTTTTATTTGACCCAGGTTTTACCCACAGTCAAATTATGTTAGACATCCCGCTCTTTCCCACTGTCTGTCACTGCTGTGTCGTCCCTGGTCTGTTGTTCTGTTCTTCTTGTTGTTTTGTTGGCTCATCTTGGTCTTTCTGAGAAAATAGCAACCTGTCCCTCAACTATCCCCTGTCAGCCTTAGCCAAGTCGCCTTTTATCCAGGGACACCGACAAGTGTCCTCTCTATAATAAAGTTTTCCTTACAGAATTTGATTTAAATTGGTGTCAGATTAAAGGGATCCTCTTTCATTTTTATTTATTGTTTGGTCTCTGTAGGGGTGTGGGTAATGCTGATTTATATTATATCAGGTTAGACTTTGGAAAGAAAGCACATAACACAAACACCATAGGGATTTCTTCAAATAGTGTAATGTGGCTGACAGTCACAAACCACTAGGCAATTAATTTCTCGAAAATATTAAACAAAAAACAAGCTGCTACTGCTCTCAGATTTTTCAGACAAAGGTTTCATTAGAGGTATGTTAACCTTAGCTCTGCTGATTGATTTAGTAATGATGTAGTAGCTGCTTGTCACATGCTTATTTGATGATGTCAATAAAGGTGTGACAACATATAATAGAAATGATTAATTATTATATTGTTAAACTTTGTTAATCTTTCCATAAATATAGGAAATATGTGGAAAATAACTCAAAGAAGACTGTTTCATGAGTAAACAAGAAGCATTCAGAGAGTACAAACCAATGCCAAGCCAGCTCACACGAGGTGGTATCCATGTTTAAGAAAGCAGTCTTTTATTTTACATATATTCTATTTGCTTTCTTTGTTCTTTTTAAACTTACTTCAAGAAGTTTGTAGTGCAGTAAAAATAAGGTACTTTGGGCAATTCTTAATCTTAATATGATGTTTAGAATACCACTATATAAGAGTATAATTTAAGGCAGTAAGATTTTAAGCATATTTTTAAAGATCAAAGACATTTTATGAAAGATTGACCTTTTTTGACCTTGAAGATGAGGTCGGGGGTCCTGAAGTATTGTGATTTTAGAATCCTCATATATCATTCCTTATATGGTGTCAATGAAAACAATGGCAGTAATTTATTAGCTCTTCATAGGAATATTGTCACTTTGACCTTCAGATCAATCTATTGACCTTGAAGTAAAGGTCAGAGGTGAAATGTGACATGATTTATTAAATCTTGATATGGTGCTTTCTACATGTTGATATACACACCACACTTTTAAGAGTCATAGTTTCTAAGTTATAATGTTTTTAGTCAATTTTTGACCAAGAAATCATTAAGTTGACCTTGAAGATTTTGGTGGATGTAAGCCAAATTGTAATGGATTGTTAACATGACCTTACTCTACACCCCTTAATGTAACGTAAGCATTTATTAGTGAAGGCGATGTGTATAGTATATACTATTTTATGCTTCTTGACAATATGGGTATCTGCAAGCCTTGATTTCATGGCAAATATAATAAAAGCATGGTTATATAGAATAATAGACACAAGCTGAAGAAAATCCCTATCTTCAAAGAATAGGCACAAATGAATACTTTCCTATAGTAAAACTGTGGGGTGTGGTATGATTACGATGATAATTATTGCTAGAACGCTATTTAAAGAACAAACAGTCTCTTTCAGAAGATGGACTTTAGTCAAGAGTGTTTTAATTTTAAGTAATGCTCTTCTCCTGAATCCACCTGGATACGGGCGATATACTCTGTCTTGTGTCGAGGGGGTGAAAAAAACAAAATGCGCAACCGGAGAGTATGACAAATGCTCAACATTAAAAGGTTTTTCCATGACCATCAAACAAATGCCTCATTGTGATTGGGAAACTGGGCTGAAATGATTCTTGGTAATGGCTTACATTAACAGAGAGGTTCACTTAATGTGTCTTTTCAAGGGGAGAGCACAAGAGATGGGGTAAGGTAATCGTGGACTGGTTTTACTGCCTAAGAGGTCCCCCCCCCCATACACACACACACACAGACACACACAGAGGACTTTGCATTTATCAAATCATAAAATTTCATAACGTACATAAAATATCAAATACACTTTAAGTGGGAGTAGAAATTGCATATATATATTTTACATGGGCCAAAATATGTCTTAGACAACAGTCTTTAACAGCCCCTTTGAGTTGAATTCATTTTACTTTCACTGTGTTATCTTTGTGTTCCAATCTACTCCATATGCATTATTTCACTTAAATGTATAGTCCTACTGATTATACCGTCTTACGTGATTATTAAAAACACACTTTTCAAAATTTCTGATACGTTAACTGATTATTTTGCTAGAAAAGACCCTTTTTTCACTGGGTTTCAACACTACTGCCAACTATCATGAGTTTGAATGTTACTCAACTGATTAGGCCCAAGATATATTTCTGGCAATCAAGTTCATCATATCACTAGGAGCTTGTCTACAAATTGTTCTCAGTGGGGGAAAAAAGAAAACACAATTAAAGACTTGAGCAGTTTTATGCCCATTTTTTAGATAAAAGCCTTTTACACTGATTTTGAATTGTTCACATTACTTGAAACAACAACCCAAATATCAGCAATTACAATTCATCCTGAGAAACAATGACTGTAATATCTGAAAATACGTTTTTCTATCATTTAATGAAGCGATCAAAAATTAAGATTTTAGATTTAAGTCAATTTGTTTGCATGGTGTGAAGGCAAAGACTTGAATTAAACCTTCAGTGAGTTTTACGCTAAAAAGAAGATATTTACTTCTCATGTTTATGTAGTTTATCTTTTACTTTTTTCTTGACTTCAAATTGTGCTCTTCCTCACTATTATTTTGTATTTTTATATACAGTACAGGAAGTGTAATTTTCACATGGTATAAATGATCCTGAAATGATCAGCAGACTTCTAAATACTCTGAAGGTCTAGATTTTAAGATAGTTAATGTATGAATAATTTACGGTAAATATGTTTTTTTGATGAACGATGGGAAGAATAAGTGTGTCTCTTATACTATGTTATATGCTATAAAAGTGCAACATGTTTTAGTTTTCTTACACATCATACAGTAAGATGGTCAGAGCCAAGCAAAATGTCATTGGATGAAGTTATTTTTTCTTGGTTTTAAGTCTAAACTGTTTGGCAGTGCCGAATGGTTCTGGTGCGAGTAGCACACCTGGGTGTTAAGTGAAGTCCCTCTTCCTCCTCATTTTATTGGTCTAATCTCCTTATCTAACACTGGTGCTGTCTGTTTTTTGTTGTTTTTTATTGTTGTGTTTACAGTGAAGAAGCAGGATGGAGCAGCTGCCATGGAGATGCAGCCTCTAAAGAGTGCTGAAGGCGGAGAGGCTGACGAGAAAGAGAGGAAGAAAGTGTCAGCTCCGAAGAAAGAGAAGTCTGTGCTGCAAGGGAAGCTGACCAAACTGGCTGTCCAGATTGGCAAAGCAGGTACAACAAATTGCACACAGACAAGTCTATCACTCAGTCTATCACGCAGATAGATCCGAGGAAAAAGAGGCACTAAACCATCATCCTGTCCATCAAAGTTGCACAGATAAGACTGCTCTTTATTTGTTTGAAGCAATCAAAGGAGTTTAGAAGAAACCTAAGGTATCTGAATTACAGAGCTCTGGAAGAGTGTGTTCAGTGTTTTGTTTTGTTTTTCCCCTCTGCCCTTGAGAAACTGCTGAATCATTGTACTAGTAGAAACAGAGATTTTGTCATGCTGGTCGCCCAGTTTTGCAATGTTACACACAATATCATAAAATGTTGTTTCTAATATAATTTAGGGTAGGGTTTAGGCCACTGAGGAGCTGATGTGAGGCACATTTGCAGCATGTGAGTCCTTTCAAATGAAGGTAACACATCGAGAAAACAGGACCAGTGTGAATATCGTAATTTGCTTTTCTTAATCTGCCGCTTTTTCTCAGAAATCTTTAACCTTTACTGCACCAAATAATACCTGTTTTTAAATAACTGTTTGATTTTTCTCCCAGACATTCATATACCACGACAGGCCTGCTTGGGTAACAAGTGACTGCATAAATGTTTTAGTTCCAGCTTCATCAAAATAAGTGAGATTTCCCTTTACACAATCTGCTCACTATATAAGGCCAGCCATTTTGAGTAGGGATTCAAATTTGTTACTGCCTGCAGTGCAAAGATAATCCACAAGTGGGCAGATTGTTGGGAAGTATTAATTATGTTGATAACATACAGGCCTCGAAAGCTTGAGTGTACAAATGGTGCTTCTGTCCTTAAAAGCTGTTTAGGAAGTTAAGTAAACAGAGCTTCCAGTGTGCTCTAGTTCTTATTTCTCCTTGTAAAGAGTTGAAGGTTTACAGCTTCAAGAAGTCCCTGTTTCTACAGTGTGCTGTTACATCAAACTGTTGGCCTGAGTGATGGAATGAGGACACTGTGTCAGAACAGTGAAATACCAAGGATGGATTAGCATACAAGCAGTGCTTGTAAGATCATGTGGCATATTGGGGAAAATACTGGAACTTCAGCATCTGTGTGTCTTAAAAGCCACACCCAAAATGTAGCTATTAGCTGTCCTCCTTTAACAAGCTGAGAAAGAATAAAGACTGCAAATAGTTGTTTTTATTAACATTTAACTTTCATAATTAGATAGTTATGGTCATTAAAACATGCCCAAAGTTTATAATAATGAGATAAGCATGTAAACATATATAAATATGTGAGCCAAATGCACAGCCTTCAGTACATAGAATATGATCCAATGCTCTTAATTATGTTTGCGACAAGCTGCCCCAAAACTGTGGTTTTCTTGATCAATTTATGTATATGTTCTTGCATGACAAGCACCATATAATTAGTATTATAAGCTTTTAATGTACTCCAACATACAAACAGTCAACTATGCATGGAGATATACAGTTCTCAGGAATACAGTTTTACCAGCTATGATACCATCAATGTTTCTGACAGCATACATTTTCCACTTCAGTAAGCTTTTCAGCACATGCCTATTAAAAGGGGCTCGTTTTGATAAAGATATATTAGATGTATCAGTCATGAAAATATTATGTCAGCCCAAGCAGGCAATGAGGACAAACGGTGTATCAAATGGAGTCATCCAACTGTTTTTATTTATTTCATTAAATGTTTATGCTGACAAACAGGGCATACCACGCCTCAGTATGATTCCCAGTATTGACCAATCATAAGTAAATGTTCTTTTAGGAATGGGGGAATTAAAGAACCAGTAGCCAAGGCTAGGATGGAGGGCTGAAGGGCTCCACAACACTTAAAAAATGTTCTCAACCCTCATAAATATGAAGCAATAAGTTTGAGTAAAATGCAACTGAAATATATAAAGTTAAAGGTTTATTTATTCGTATAACTGTCATAATGGAAAATTCCATTTTCATTAAGGGAAATATGTTTGGTATAACATCAGTGTTTACCAGTCAAGTTCATTTATTTTGACCAGATTTGACCAAATTAAAATTATTGTTTTACATTTTACTCATGTAACTAAATTGCATGGAGATTTTTCATGCAATCAAATTACTTAAAGTCAGCATTTTCAGCATAAATATTTCTGAGTGTAAGCAGCATGAAATGCTGTAATTGAAATATAGACTTTTTTTTTTTTAAAACTGTGACTCAGCTGAGTTAGTGTACCAGAATTAAAAAAAAGTTTATTAAAGTTGGAAAAATTACAACTCCTACAACATAATTACGTTCCCCTCCCATAGGTGCATGAATGAAATCCATCTCCATTATTCAGTTAGGTTTAAGTTACAGCTTTTTCCTACCCTAGCTTTTTTGTTTTTTGAACATTTATCATCTTGCAGTTCCTGCATTCAGGTAATTCATCTTAACCAGCATATTTATCATTTCAGTTTTTTTCAGCAGCAGGCAGTTTAAAGTAATAAAAATGTCATAGATTTTGGAACCACCCTTTTAGTTCCTGGCAATAACAGCTTGTCAGATCTGGCAATAAGGTGCTTTGGCTGTCAAACCTGTGTTTCACTATGTGTTTGCCACGCAGAGTTTAGCTTAACAGTGATTACGGAGTGAAAATTGAGCACTGGAAAAGGGAGGGTAGCTTGCTCACCTAGCTAGACCTCACTGATCAGTCAGATCAGTGAGGTATATAACATATATTATTCCTTTGATAAATTATTTTATCTATGAATTTAGTCAACTCAGATTTTAGGCAACTCACAGCAACAACACACTGAGTTAAGTCCCGTGTGTGGCCATTCTCTGTGGAGTCATCATAAAGCGCTTGGCACTAGGAAGGACTTGAGCTGCTCACCACATGCCGCACTGATGGATCGAGTAAGCAAACTGAATAACCGGATTTGTCCACAGTCATCAGTAAAGTGTAGAAAAGCGATTCTCTGCTTAGACTCCTGTATCAAACTGTTCCCCTCTATAGTTTTGTTTGATTACATGCCTCACTTTGCCATTCCTTTCCTCAGCTAATACTCGTCGTACTTTTCACCAGGTTTGCTCATGTCAGCCATTACAGTCATCATCCTGGTCCTGTACTTTGCCATTGACAACTTTGTGATGCAGAAGCACCCTTGGATGCCTGAGTGCACTCCTATCTACATCCAGTACTTTGTCAAGTTCTTCATCATTGGTGTAACTGTTTTGGTGGTGGCTGTCCCAGAGGGACTGCCGCTGGCTGTCACCATCTCCTTGGCTTATTCTGTTAAGGTAAGGTAACTTTTAAGCATTGTAAGACTCCATGGTCTCACATTTGTCATTAATAGATTTGTTATGTAGTTAGATATTGTTGTTTTTCTTTGTCTTTGCATATGCAAATGTGTGCACCTTTCACAGAGATGAGACTTGCATGCATACTTGAGGATTCAGGGCAATTAATTCTCCCAGCTGTGTTAATGTGCTTATTTTATTCACAGCGGCAAATATGTAAATAATTCAATTAAGTCTGACTGTGCAAAGAATTACATTTTTTTTGAATGACATGAATCAAATTAAAATGTTATATGTACCGACATGTACGGTGGCCATTTTTGCCACTGAAAGTTAAGCAGTGTGAGGCTCGGGATAGGCACTTTATTGAAAAAAAATACTTTAAAATGGACCACATTGTTTTCTACCAACAGAAAATGATGAAAGACAACAACCTGGTGCGTCACTTGGATGCATGTGAAACAATGGGCAACGCTACAGCCATCTGTTCTGACAAGACAGGCACGCTAACCACCAACCGTATGACAGCTGTGCAGTTATACGTTGGTGATGTACATTACAAAGAGATACCAGACCCTGGAGTCCTGCCACCCAAGTCATTGGATTTACTTGTCAATTCCATCTCAATTAACAGCGCCTATACCACAAAGATACTGGTAAGTCTTCGAGAACACAGTTAATGTATAAGTATAAAGTTAAGTGAATATTTGAATAACTTATCTGTCACTTTTATATACCAATTCATGCTTGATGCTCTCCGTGAACCAATATTTGGGCTATTGTACTGTACTACACTCAGAGAAGATAAACCTATATTATCCTGGGTTAGCTTCTTAGATTTCAGCTTACTCTGTGTAAACAGTGACACCATATGATGGGAGCAACCCTGAAACAGCGAGACAGCTCTGCAGTGCTTTCTTTTTGGCTAAGCAGGCAGGCAGTGTCCTTGGCTGCTGCTTTAGATTCATTAGGCATTCACTCAACTTGTCACCTTGAGAACGGTTGTGTAATTTTGTCTTATCTGATATTCAGAGCATAGCAGACTGTAATTGAATCCAATCTGTCTAAGTGCTGGAGATGTTCTCCTGTCTATAGTGAATGCAGCAAGGAGACATTTTCTCTAAGCCAATTAGACCTGCATTCAATAAGAAATACATAGATATATGGAGAAACACACTCATGCTGTTTCGTATTCTAATCACAGAAAATGTGACTAGTCTGCATGGAAATCTTGTCCAGGACACAGGTCTGAAACATTATTTGCATGATAAAGCGCTTGGTTAAACAATCTAAAAGCAATGATTGCCAAGATTAGCATGTCTTCAGCCTGTTGGAACAACATGCCTGAGTAATCCATTTCCTGGCATGTAGACTCACCTGCACACACACACACACACACACACACACACACACACTGTTTGTGCCGATCTATTTGTCACCATCCTTGTAAACTCCTGTAGAGTCTATTCATTGATGGTTGACCAACTGACAAATGCCCTTACGGAACAGTGAGCTGAGCAATTAGGACATCTATGAACGAAGAATCCAACAGATTTCACTTCCTACCTTTCAAGGAACAAATACTGTGCTTTCACTTTCGGAGACATTGTAAGTGCAGGGACATGGGTCCTGAATGGAAATCTATGAGAGAATTTTGCAACATTAAAGCTAGTGTTTGTCCTTCCCCTGCTACCCAAAGAACCGATCAAAAACTGAACCAGTAAACATATGTGCCAGTCATGTTTTTGATCACGTGAACACACAATGGAGTTTCATTATTAAATTAAAGATGAAGGTAGGTGTACTAATGGGAGTTATAGCATTTGTTCAAGTGATTAAGCACAGATGCTGCCTGGCTGTACTAAGGATTTACTCAATAATGAGCCTTTAATGCTGTGAAACTTTAGGTATAAACCTTAGAGGGAGGGAAAATGTTTTTAAAAACTTATTTTAGAGTATAGTTTCTACATGTGCATTTTTCTGTCTCTTAGAGCGTTGATAATAAATGGTTATCTCTCTTACAATTTATTTAGATAGCTCTAAAAAAAAAAACCTGCGTAGATCTTTTGCAAAGATAGCTTTGAGTGCAAAACATGCTACCAGAATGATTTTGGTTGGTCACCTGTGTCTACTATCATTTCAACGTTTCATTTTTTTTATTTTTAAAATTTACTGATAGACAGTAGATTGAATTCAGTCATTTTTGCCATACAATTACCCTTCTTATCATAATGCCAAGTAGTACAGAGATCTGCTTGTGTCCCTTTAATACTAGTTTACAGTATTGAACTATATTGCCAAAAGTATTCACTCATCCATCCAAGTTGTTGAATTCAGGTGATACAATCACTTCCATGGTCACAGGTGTATAAAACCAATCACCTGGCCATGCAGACTGCTTCTACAAAGTGAAGGAATGGGTCGCTCTCAGTATATCAGTGAATTCCAGCATGTTACT